GATAACCAGACAGGATCATGAAGGATCATGAATCATGGATAACCCCCAGCACCTCCTGTATAGCACCATGACCAGACAGGAGATCCTATCTATCTATCTTTGAAAATGCATGAGGAATACTTGATAAGGGAAATAGTAAGACATTTCTTAATGTTTTAGACACTTCCTTCTGGATTCTGAGGTTTGATACATGGGCAGGGTCTTTCTACAATGGCTTGTAAGTGGTTTTCCTTATCATCATCCTGAAATATGCAAATGTGTAAATAATCTATAACTACTGACATTGGACCCATCTCTAGATACTTGGATTAGAATAATCTTTATTCACAGCATTACAGTCAGATGTAGGCTTGCTTGAATAATATTTTACAACGTTTTATAAAATATAAATGTCAATTTCACCTTTATCCCAACAGCGCGTGATTTTTAGCACAGACTGTCTTGTTTTCACCACCAGGTGTCGTCATTCATTCAGCTTTATAGTGACTTGAAGGTTAAGGTCAAATAGGCCCATTGCTGGCCTGTAGATTCACAATGGCAGTGCTGGACTGTGATATTTTGCTGCCGAGTCTTTTTATACTTCACAGGGAAATGGACTCTGTTTTTTTCTCCACATTTATACTGTGGCAGATTTGAGTTTATACATTTTTTTCCCGATACAGAATGTCTTCACAGTCGGAACAGCAACATTACAAGTAGCCTACGGGTACAAGACATTTTAATTGTTAGGTCTACTTATGTATTCCTTGGTCATGTTTTTTTTTTTTTTTTTTTTTTTCCCCGCCCCTTAGTCATTCTTAAAAATAATAGGCGAGTACTCTTTAGTACTGCTTAGTCAGAAACTTTTAGACCTGACTCAAAATGTAGTATTTGAAGAGATATCTCTCCATAGAGTCCCCCCCTCCCCAACAAAAATGGGCTGTGCATGCCTGCTGCTCTCAGCTCGATCATTAGCACTTTGCTGCAGTTGCACAATCCAGACGCTAGATGGCGGTAGAATACAGAAACGTAATGACAGTCTGTTGTCAGATAGGTTTTCATCACGTCTTTTCACGTGCACTCTGCACATGTTTCTTACGGCTTCTTCATTCATTTAAAATCTAAATAAATTTAGATTTGAATTTGAATGTAATGTCTTTAAAAGCCAGAAGCGCCAGCTTTTATGATATTTGACTATTAGGAATTTAGTGAAACAATATCTCCACTTCAACTGTTAACGATGCAGGCTGTCACCAGTTTGTCCTGTTGGACCTGTTGTTGGTTTAAAAACAAAGGAACATCTATGCATTTGCTATGGGTCTACAGATTCAGCTATTGTTATAATACAATACATTATTATTATTATTATTATTATTATTATTATTAATAATAATAATATATAATAATAATAATAATAATAATAATAATAATAATAATATTACACCGTATTTATGGTATTATTACACTTCTTTGCACTCCTTTTTGAACATAACAAGATTAATGATTTATATTTAATGTACATATTTTATTTTTCTTTCGTCTTCAGTGTCTGCAAAATCAATGTTCAAATTAAATGATTGAAAACAAATGAAATATAAAACTAATTATTAGTATAAGTACGTAGTACAGAAGAGTACTTTCAAATTTGTGTTTTGGACCATTTGAATGAACATTCAAAAAATTTGACTCTGATTGATACAGCAAACACCAGTGTGTGTCCACCATCAAAAGGGGCATTTGATAAATAGCATCTTTTCCCTGGGTGACAGTGTGCTCTCCATGATTTAGTCTGCCCTGCCTTTCCCCTTAAGCCCAGTGAAATCAGGACCAACATAGTTAATCTTTTTCATGGTGGACAGATTAAATGGGGCGGTGTCAGGTGACAAAAGCTGGAAAAGCCATTGGGGTGAACCTAATGTGAGCAGAATAGAGTGTGTCCTGTGTTACAGTGGGCTATGAGGAGGAGAGCCCTGGTGAACCCTTTCAAAAGTCCAGCTCTGCTCTTCTCCTGTGGGTGACACTGTCCCAGAGATGTGCTTTGTAACTGTGCATGTTTGAAACACACAGTGCATTAATGCTTCCATGGCCATCACTCATTCTTTTTGGGGAGGATAATCTTACACCTCTGCACCTCCCTGGCTCTCCCCTCTCTGCAGACCCCCGCCGCTTCATCCCGTTTTATGGGACACACCTGATATGGCAAACATGGACAATGGCCTCAACGACTGCAATCAAGACTATCCATAAACACAGCACTCAGGTTGACCCCTGCAAAGAGGCTTTGAATCAGAATAAGAAAGTGACAGAGGTCACAGTGTGTAGTTATCTAAACATCAAAATACATGAAATCCATAGATGAAGGACACGTTGATATTTATACTGTATTATTTTCATAACCATCTTCTTTAAGTATTAACAATAGTACTTAAGTTAATTATACTTTGTAAGAAGAAATACAAAATCAAATTGTGCTTGTTTTACTTATTTGTTTACTTACGTTTTTGTTTTTATTAAGTATAAGATTAAAAATGGTGAATGAAGCCACAAGTGTGTGTTTTGTTTTGTTTTTTTAATTTAAAAGAAAGATTAGGTATTTTCCCATGTGAAAGTGTTTATGCCAAATATTAACCTACAGTGTTTTCTTTCTCTACTATATCAACAAGACTAATATAATGGAGAATTTCTTATGACTCTATAAAACTTTTCAGCACTGGAAGTAGTCACAAATTATTTCTCATGCTCAATACAGTTGAAAAGTTCCCATTTTGTGCACCATCATTTGCATTTATAATCTCACATTTCAATTTCAATTTATGTAGATGCAATAGAACTGTCACATTTGTGTTCTGGGACCACAATGTCAGATACTGCAGAGCATGTGTGAGGCCTGGTCCTGAGTTGGTGGTTTCTGCATACAGCTTTACGGGAAATGATCCCAAGCTGTAACCTCTCAACTATAAATATTTTTCTCAATGAGCAGGTCAATGTAGAGATCGGAACACATGTGTTTTTTATACAGATAAAAATAAAATAAAATTAAAATAGTAATAATAAAAATAATATACATCTACATAAAGGAAAAAGGAAAATTTGAGGGAGTAGCACTTATAAACTTCGAGTAGCAATATGATTGCCACGTACATACGTTGATGCCAAACTAGGCTTAAATGTGTTGATATTAGTTTTTATACATCAAGATATTTAAGATTGTATTTGCTAGAATCACGTGCAATAAAAAAAAATTGTCATAATACAATATATCTTTTTTGCTGCTGCTGTTGGTCTGACTTTGACAATCAGCAGGTGTATGAGGGAGATACGGGTGAGACTGCAGCTATAAAAGTGTGACCTCTGACCTTATCACGGCAGCTCGGGGAAAGGACTATTTCCCCACAGGGACAATAACCTGTCACATTAACACTATTAGTGGAACTCCATTGTGCTGACACACAATCAAATGCAGTACACGTATTTAAGTAAGAAGGAGCCAGTTAAAAAGAAATACAATGGAAAGCCCATAGTCTGTGGCATTGTGCGTAAAGGTTACCGAGATTACGCAATAACCCGCAAACGTGTAAGGCAGCAAACATCATTTGTAGTGTTTCTGTATGTCACTGTTGCGAACTACAATGAAATAAATGTTATTTTGTCTCATGTAAACGTTATACCGTCAAATCCTTTACCTGAAGAAAATGTGTTACACGGTCTTGAAGGAGAAATGCGCTTGTTTTTTGACAATGTTATTTTAACAATACTTGTGACCTTTGCTGCATGAGGCCTCTGCGCTTCGAAGGTTGGTTTGGCTTGGGGCCTGTACACAAACCAGGGTTTAGGTCATAGCCGTGTTTTGCTATAAACGCATGTTTTACAGCGCCAGGACACAACATTCCCCTGTGATTGTTTCAGGCTTTTCTTCACTTCTCTTTTCTTTCTCTGGTTTTCACCCTGAAGTCAAAAAAATTAAATACACCTTTGCACTTACATCCCCTCACTTAACGTTAAATCCCGTACTTTAGACAAAGATGTGTTTAGGCCAGTCACTCATTCAAAGAGTTGCTCACCTGTTCAACCGATCCTCCTCATTCGGATAAAATAGTCCTATAGCCATAAGCCTTGGCACAATCAGATCGAGTTTTATGAGCGTTTTCTTCAAGGTTGTGGATTTTTCCAGCTTCTTTTGCCCAAAAGATTTAATAGCCTTAATACTAGCCCTTTTGAGACACATGCCGCCTCACGGTGCCAGCTGAAGCTCATGTTTCAAGCCTTATGGGAAACAAGAGGGGTTTGGGAAGAACGGCGTTTGGTGAGAGACCAACTATTCCGTGTTATGTCTAATTCACAAGCCGCTTAGCGCTGTTTTGAGTAGAGCCATATGTAGTACCCGCTTAGGCACTCGTTAATTAGAGCTCGAGCTTTGAGCCGCGCGTGTAATTGACCTTCACGAGCCGAGAGGCTGCTCCACAAACAAGGTGAGACTGGTGCGCACCGTTTATGGCCACGAGGAAACAGGACGTATATGCGGATACGCTCTCTTAATGAAACAACATCTCCGGGCGATCACTCTTGTTTAGATTGTACTCAGTATGCCTGATATACTAAAGCTGACCGTTTATATATGACAAAACATATAGGCTAACCCATTATTAAGTAGAAATTGTATCTCTTACTATAAAGTGTACATTTTGAAAAGGGAAGGAAAAAAACAAAACAAAAAATGTGTTGTCACTTGACTTAGTGACTCGAATCAAACTGAGATGTAATAATCAACTTCGCACTGAATAAACATAAGGTCGATGCTGAGCTGCAACATTTAGTCATTTCTAAGTTACAAGGTTGAATACTGATGCGAGGAATTTATTCAGATTTCAAATTCTCACAATTTTGTAAAAAGAAAAAAAATTATAATAAAAGAAATAAATAAAAAAGCAAATCTCGGATACAATCGTTTTTATATTCCATGTTGCCCCAGTAAAAAATAAATAAAAGATCATTTTTCAAATAGGCCTAAGTGCAACCCAAACTTCAGCGTAAAACGGCCCTTCTCCTATTTCCGTGTAAATGTTTTAGAATATTGGCTAATAATTATACGAACAATTTCAACCCTTTTAATTCTACATAAAATACTTTCAATAAAACACAGGAAAAAGCAAACGACTCGTAATTACAGTCCGTGTATTTCTCTTATTTTATTGCAAAGGGTATATGAAACTATAAGTGTATGAATGATTTACGTTTCATACCGCAAACTTTACATGCACTCACTCGTTCTCTATCAGAAGGTTAAGATCTCGTTATATAAGACACATGAGAATATCATAACCCCATCATCATTGTCACTGTCGTCCAGCCCCATGCCCATATGTCAAAAAAAAAAACAAAAAAACAAAAAAAACAAAAAAAAAATATCGTATGGCTCTGCTTAAAATAAAAACATGTAAACAACAAAAATAGTGTAGACAAAGCGCTGGGGTATGCCATGTGATAACACCCCAATATGCAACGATAGTTAAGACCTTTGTATTAGGCTATATTGTTTGAACAATATATCATGGTGTAACATTCTGATAAAATACTCTCCCATGAAGTCTCACCTTCGGTTTTCTTGCACCACTCCTACAAGAAGTCGAGTGTTCACTTCCACTAAGTCAGTTACGCACGGAACAAGCGTGTAACTCTGTGCTCTGCACCAAACAGAGATTGAATCTCCGTTTTGTTTTTCAAATGATTTGCCAAGAGTCGTTCACTCTCGATGATTCGAGTCTCACCAAACCTCCCACAGGTGATCCTAAAACACAGTGCTTTGTGGTGAGTCTTTCTCCGTGTAGCCTACGAGCCCAGGTCCACCAGGTTGGATGACATGGGGTTCAGAATGTCGTGGTGCAGTCCGTGGTGATGGTGGTGGTGCACTGAGTCCGCGCTCGGCACCGGGATGGCACTGGGCCCGGGCGGAGGAGCGAGGCCGTGAAGCGAAGGCAGACCGCTGCTGTTCGAGCCCATGAGCAGCGCGGGGCCCGGAGACGTGTTATGATGATGGTCAGGGGTCCCGGACGGCGTTTTGTCATCGTCTGAACTTCCTAAAAGGCTTTTACTTCCATTCATGGAAGAAGACAGCGCGTTGTGGTTGTTTCCGTTCGAGTTCTCGTTGTTTTCCCTGCACACAAAAAATCAGGAAAAAAAAAAAAAAAAAAAAAAAAAATGAGAGAGAAACATTTTGCACAAAAATTTTAAGGAAAAGCAATTCTGATTAAAAAAAAATAGACCAACAGTCAGACTACCCTCACTGAAGGTTAGACTATACATTTTCAAAATGCTGAATAATTTGTGACTAAAGCAAATACTTGTTATGCGCTTATAAATTGATCTATTTTTAAAGTTACTTAAGCTATTTTAACTTTAATTTTATTTTTAAGTTTAATTTATAGTTGTAAGATAAGTTTCACTTTTTACCGATATGTAAAATTGTATTGTGAGTTATAGAGTAAAATAACTGCCCATAGGCTATTTAGTTATACTCAAGTATAAGGTTATTGACCAAATGTAAAGCTCGTGAACAAATGACAACATTAATTATTGCACTGCTGAAAGTTCGCTGAGTAACGCGTCTATAAGTGTCTACGGTGTTAGTAGTGGGTGGTGAGTAAGGGCTTTTTCCAGTCTTGGGGGAGACATGATTTACGTAAAGCTTTCAGCCCGAATTAGAGGCCAGAAGGTGAAAGAAGACACCAAGCCAGAGAACACCTGACTGCAACCCGTCTCCAACAGCTCAACGCACGGCTCAAGAGCGTTGGCAGTCACCGCATAATGACTTTTGAATGCTTTTGAGTCTGAAGAGTTGAACTTGTACACAGTGAAATCTGATGTTTGAATAAATGTTATTACCAGAACATAAAAGGAACCTTGTGCAAATCGCCTTATAATTTACCTGAGCACATGCCTTTAATTTACTGCTTCAACGTTTTACCCACATCCACACATCTCCTATCATACGCACGTATGGTACAAATGCAATTTTAAAGATCCTTACTAAACTTAGTAACTTATTGCAGCGTGAGACAATCCGCACACAGAACAAGTAGCTGATGACACTTTGTGACAAATCCAGCAAGTTGGACCACAAATACCATTTTAAATGAAAAACAAAAGAAAAGCTTTAAGACAATATAAATCTATCTGTGGTGTTTTGTTTTGTTTTGTTTTGTTTTTTTGTTTTGGGTGAGACTTAGTTATGTTTTGTTTTTAGAAAGACTGCTAAATTATAGACTCACGAGGCCTACAAAATAAGAACAAATTCTTACATACAAGAATCTAATCATTAGGTCTAACGTGTGGGGAACATACATTTTCAAGTTTCTTTTGGCAAAAATTATGTGCGTAAAAGTTACTTCCTTTTCCAAATGAACAGTTTTGTCTACATCTTCTTATCAATGAAAACAAAACTTTGTAATCTAGTCTCATGAAACCATGAAAGCGGTTTAAGTACAATCATGAATAGATGACACATGTACTGTACCTCTCCTTGGCTTCCGCTGCCCTGTCTCTCTGTCGCCGGTTCTTGAACCAGTTGCTGACCTGCGTGGTAGTGAGTCCAGTGGCCTCAGCCAGCTCCCTCTTTTCTCTGGGGGACGGATACGGGTTGTGCGTGTACCACTCTCTCAACACGCTCCGGCTCTTCTCCTTGAAGCAGTAGCTGGTCTCCTCTCCGTCCCAGATGGATCGGGGAAGGGGAAACTTCCTTCTCACTCGGTATTTGCCTACGGCTCCGAGCGGCCGTCCACGCAGCTTTTCTGCCTCAATATAGTGCGCTTTAAGCCACAGCTGCTGCAGTTTGGGATGGTTGTGCGGGGAGAACTGATGACTCTCCAGGATCTTGTAAAGCTCTCGGAAGTTGCCTCTGTGGAAGGCTACAACCGCTTTTGCCTTCAGCACAGATTCGTTTTTATGGAGGTGCTCGCAGGCGGGGAGAGACCACAGAAAGCGACCCAGTCTCTCAATGTTGCCGCCTTGTTGGAGTACTTCGCAGACGCACGCAACTTGCTCCTGCGTAAAACCGAACGTCGGAAGCATAGACATTGTTCATTAAAAGTCCTCAAAAGTCCCGAGAAAGAAGTTCAAAGTTGATCAAGTCAGGTCCATTGAGCCGTGCAAAACCCCAGGCGACAACTCCTCATAAGGCTCTGAAGCAGGAGAGAGCAAAGGAGAGTGTTCTGCGCCGTAGGTACGTCCTTTTCCGTGGTGTCTCTACTCAACCTACTCCCACAGCCCTGACTGCTGCCTCCTTTTAATAATATTATTCTAAGCTGGCAAGACAAGCGTTTATATGAACTCTGATTGGTCGGTTATCTGACCCGGGGATGGCGAGGATAAGACAATAGCCTTAGTCAAATTATTTGCCATGGTTACGCTGTCACTCAAAGTAACCCGATACGCTTTGAGGTGGCTCCCTGGCAAAGTCAAGCCGATTGTTCCCTTCACTGCAGCCCGCCTTCCCAATAAGAAGAACGCGCACATTTTTCTTCTTTAACACTTTTTCCTTCCCTTTAACTTTGATGGACAGCCGAAGCAGCCAAACAGAAAGCGCGTGGGTGAGTTTGGAGAGCTGCAGTGGATCATGCAGCAGTTGGAGGAGGGATGGCGCCAGAGACACAGCCTACGGCGCTCCGCACTCAGACGCACTCTGCAAGATCGCTCAAATCAGTCCCACTTTCTTAGAGGGACTAGTCTAAGCTTCAGTAGTTCAAATAAAACTACTTAAAACAACTTAAAACTACTTAAAATTACTCTGAGATACGAAAACCATTTAAATCAGAGTACCATATATGGCGCTTGTTCATAAGCAGCAAACGAACCAAACAAAAATAACTTTACAACAACTGATGACATGATATGTTTTTCTTAAATATCTGTAACTTGAATATAGGCCTTTTGAAAGAACGTTATGCGTTTAGATATCAGTATGCAAAAATCGATTAATTATTAGCCTATAGGTATTTACTACAAATACAAAACAATGTCAAGATAGTTTAATAAATTAAAAGCGTGCTTACAGTTTTTGGCCTAGTTTCTTAAACAATAAAAATTGTTACAAGATTACAATTACAATGTTCAATTCAAATTCCTCCATAATAAGCAAACAAATGTACAGAGGTAGGAAAATGCATTAGTCCAATTATTGTTATTGGGCCGTCCATTTGAGAGGGGGATAAACACTCGGGGCACACATGTTCCAAACAGATACGCAGTGATGACTTTAACCTCAAATGAAAATGTGCCTGTTTTGCAAAAGGACTTGGGACTCTGAAGAGAGGAGGAGAGACTCAAAGAAGGAAAACTGCGCCGATCAGCTCGAGGTGAGACGATAGCGCCCTTGAGAGAATGTGGAGGAATTTTTAGCCAAATACCACCATCAGTATAGTCCCAATTGGGCCTGTTTAATGTGGACATAATATATTATATAATTTATAATGTTAGTTAGTTAACTAATAATAATGAAAGAATCAAGCAGGTGTTTTGGCACACTTGTTGCATATTGTTTTCTTTCCAGTTCAACAAATCTACAAAAAGAAAGCAGAGGTTACATGATCCGGTCCTTGTCTTTTGACGTGTGTGCGTCACGTTCAGTATGTCACGCGCTTGACCTTGTAATGTGATGTGTGTAATTATTGAATGTTGGTCTAGACATTGACTAGTGGTAGATGCGTATCTGTCCACCCTGGGACCTCTTCATTAGAGACTTGCAGTGTCAGATCCTCCCACGTGCAGGATCACACACACTTTTTAGATAAGAATGCTGAGACGCATAATAATAATAATAATAATAATAATAATAATAATAATAATAATAATAATAATAATAATAATAATAATAATTCATATGAATGTTTGTAAGATGCCTGTTATTAGCCATAGGCCTACTTTTTTAAACATTTCCTTTTACCGTAAAAAAGTGACAAATGATAATATTCACCTGTCAGTTTTGATTGATATGAAGCATAGACTCAGTGAACGCGCTGAGTGCAAATGTAAGCGTGCATAAATAATGCCATGACACACGCGTTTTTTAAAGTGATGAGAGATAAAACTATCATGTCCATTCATCTAACAGCAACAGTTAAATGCGCAGTAACTGGACCCATTCCGCAAGGCCACTTCCCCGGAGACACGCGCCATTTTATTCATATACTTGAGTGCGCAGTGGACCTAAAATCTGTTCTGAAAAGTCTGAAGCTACTGTATCTGTATCTAATGTAAATATTATCTTAGAATATATATTATGCATGAACAATAGTAAAAAAAAAAAAAAAAAAAAAAAAAAAAAAAAAAAAAAAAAAAAAAAAACCAACAAAAAAACAAAACAAATAGACCTACCATTTCCATAGCATGTGCTAAACAATTTATCTGAGCTTGGGACTGGTGCTCAGGCTTGTGATATTTGGGACAGTTTCTATTAATTTGGCATAGCTGCTAATATTCAAAACTGCATATTTCGAGCTAAAATACATTTTGAAATATGGCTGGTGCAAAAATAATTTGCTAAGACTGAGACTGTGATTGGGTGGACGTGTGTGTTGACAGTGTGTGTAAACCCTTGTTTCCCTGTATCAGTCTGATCAGAAACATTCATTATAGACTCCTGATGAATGGAGATCACATTGCCACTAATAGACCAGCCCCTATTTTCACAACCTCCCACTGCTCACCTTGGCCACTCTCCACCAAGACCCCCACTAATTGAGCTGATTACTGCAAGATGTGTGTGTCATGGGGGTTTCCTGGTTGGCTGGACATATTCTGTACATGCAAAAGACAAGCTTTACAAGGGCCTGATGAGTAACATTCTTCAGACAGACATCCAAATGTTGTGCGAGGAGAGGAGAGGTCTTATTAAAGCCATATCTTGTAGTGGTTGAGGGATATGAGTGAGGGCCTATCCAATAATTGTTTGTTTACATCTCTCTTGTTACCCCAGAGGCCCAGAGTGAGGCAGGAGAACAGGGGCAGATGAGGAGGAAGCTTTATTTTCAGAGGTCGGTCAGTGGGTCCATCTTAAGCTATATGTTAAGTCTGTTCTGAATATCTAGTCAAATCAAAATATCTTCATAATAACGTAATGGGGGGAAAAAAATGAAAAGATTATATTACTTTTGATACGCAAAAATTGGATGAAAGTTTAAAGTCGCAATTCTTTGTCTGTAGCGTTCATTGATGTTCTTGCTGTTATATTGCATTTGTTGTGTATTTGCTATTTCAAAATCAAAATAATAATACATAGCAGAAAAAGTTTATTTTATCCCTCATGGACATTATATTTGATCAAAATAAACAGGCGTCACTGAGTTACAGTTTGTCTAAAACCAGAATATAAATACTTTGTCTTACATACTTCTGCGATAACTTTTTCAGTTCAAAATTGACTAAAGTTATAATGATGGGATTAGGGTAAAATGCATCTTTGGATGTAAATTACACATTTTTTCTCTAAATTCTTAACCCCGGAGCAAGACATATGTTACAAGTGGCCAAACAATGTACCTCACCCAAACAGCTCTGGCCCATCTCTGCTCTGGTGTTTTAACTGTGAAGTGTGGAGAGAAGCGAGAGAAAGTCCTGCCCTCTGCTCTCCTCATCCCATCATTTATTGGATCAATCACTCCATTTGATTCCTGTTTATTTCAGGAGCCTTATGGTCATTTCAGGCTCACAGTGGCGTCTTTATGCACAGCCAAGGCGTTCCCCCTTAACTACTGAGAACATATCACCTTCTCCGGGACATCAGTCTAAAGTGGGCCACTTTTCCAGCACTTATGTTGATATTTTATGCGTTCTGAGCGTTATGGTGAAAATCCACTTGGTCTGACTCTTGTCAAATGTACACATGTGTATTCTCTTCAAGATACTTCACTGACTTCAACATGTGGGGTGGGTTTAACTGATTACAACTATAAGTCCTGCTCATCTATTTAGAACTATAGTAATTCTAATAGGCATTTATTATTTTTGGTCACTATTAGTTAGAATTTGGAAGGTTTATTTAGCATTTATATTTTATGATGAAATACAAAAAATGTACAATATTTACTCTTTAAAATGTGTTAATGATAATAATGTGTGTCAGCATATACAGGACTGGCTGTGACATTAATACTGTAGCTATAAATAAAAGTTTTATTTTAAACAATTCAGCATGTTGTGGATCGCAGTATTTTTGTTACGGTGGAGTTAAACACACAAAAATATTGAGATGAAAATGTCAAAATCATTTATGTAGTGTACTGCCATGCTGTGTACACACCATTTTGAAACCTGATAACTAAATCATTCCCATGGCATTATAAAAGCTGCTCTGTTAGAAATAACTTTGAGTAGTTACTTTTATAACTGCGAACATTTTCATGCTCATCTTGACTGGAGCATGTCTTGACTTTGCATCTCTTTGCTGAGTACAGGCTCTGTGTATGAGATGTTTTCCATGTACCTCTCTGCAGCGCTGCAAATCATATGTCAGGAAAGTATTTATTAAAAGTGAGCCGCAGTAATTAGCTACGTGCTAATGCTTGAATTTGTCTGTGTCCCTGTATGCCAGCCTTTTACTGCTCTCACAGGTTTCACTTAAAACACAAGCTTGACCCTGTGTCACCGACCATATGGCCAGTAAATACTTCCATGATAGAGTCAGGAGTGGCGCTGCCGATACTGTAACCCGGAGTACACATCTGTGAGGGCTGATGAAATGAAAACCCACTCATTTAGATGGCATAAACTTGGTCTGCATTCTACAATTTAGTTTTGTGGTATAATATAAGTAACATAGATTACTTGGATTTAAAACTATGGGTGTAACTGGTGGTATACAAGTCTACTACAAGTTTGATATTGATCAGGAGTGCTCAAAGAAGGGGAGGCGATATTTGATTACTTCTTGAGTTGACAATAGATGTAAAGCAGACTAAGACAGTCTATTCCCTTAAAACATAATAATTAAAGACAATGTATTAACACATCTCTATGCAAACCTTTCAAAGGTCCTATATTACACAAGATGGATTTGTGTGAGCTTTAAGCCATGTTGTAAT